AAAAAAAAAAAAAAAAAAAGGAAATAATAGCAGGACCTGTGTCCCTGGGGAAAGCCACTGGGACAACACTAGATGCTTTGCTGAGATATGCCCGAAGGAGGAATGATAACAGGATGGCTAAGTCAAGTCTCATTCCTGTGATAACTGAGTTGTATTGTCTTTGCTAATCCTATTAATGATTCCCCCCACTTGCCCTGTTGCTGCTATTTGTTTGTATCGCAATAAAAGGCTGAAGATTGTAATGGGGGCTCAGTCTGAGAGGCTGCAAACTGCCTGGTCCCATAACTTTCTCTCTCATGTTTTTCTTTTCATCAGCAGCACCCCATTCTCAGAACCTGTCACCCCAGACAGAAACTGACTTTACACCAACACTGTCTCACAAAAAAAAAAAAAAAAAAAAAGAGAAAGAGAGAGAGAAGAAAAAACACACAATCCAGAATGTGTGTGACTGGGCAATGGTTCTTTGCAGATGTAGACATCTTGACAGTAGATCATCCTGAATATTCCAAGTGGACCCTAAATCCAAGACAACCTTTTTTGAGGCCCTTTTTTGGGAAGGAGGTTTGCCTTGTAGTCCAAGCTGAATTCAAACTTGCTGTGTAGCTGAGGCTGGCTTCAAAGGTGTGATCCTCCTGCCTCAGCTCCCAAGTGCTGGGGTTACACTATGTACAACCATGCCTGGCTTCAAGAAGTGTCCTTGTGAGATGTAGGCAGAGCATTCTGACGCAAAGAAGAGGAAGACATGTGACATTGGAGGCCAGCCTGGAAAGATGCACCCACATTCCAAGGAAAACCTGGAACCACCACAGCTGAGAGGCAGATTCTGACCCTGAGACTTCAGTTGTACACAGTACAGCCAACAACTCGTCCCCTCACACACACTACTTCACTTTAAAACAGGGTCTCCCTAAGTGTTAAGTTGCCTAGACTAGACTTAAACTTTTTTTCTGTTTTTTTTTTTGTTGTTGTTTTGTTTTGGTGGGGGTTGTGTGTTTTGAGACACGGCCTCGATGTGTAGTTGACTGGTCTTGAACTCAGTATGTCGTCCAGACTGGCCTTGAACTTTCGGTGATCCTCCTGCCTCAGCCTCCCAGGCTGCTGGAATTACAGGTGTGTGCCACCAGTCCCAACTCTAGACCTATGAAAATAAATTTCTGTTGTTTTAAGCCATCCAGCTTGTGGTCATTGATAGGTAATGACAGTGAGACCAAGGCCGTGGGAAAGATCGGACTTACCCATCTACCTACAGGCGGGCTGAGCAGAGTGGTATCAGCAAACACCTGAAGGGAACCGGAGTATATATATAGGGTTTTTGGATTAGAGTCAGACTTTCAGAGTCCGATGAAGTGTTTGAGGTCAAAACTGCACGGACACTCCGCATAGGTGTGCGGACAGAACTGGCGCCAGGACTTCAGGTCTGGTCCCAAATTTCCTTAAGGTCCTCCTCGTCTGCCGAGGGCAGGCTGCTGTCAGTACGGGGGAGTCTGCGGTTTCCAGAGGGCAGCGCAGGTCTCCCTCGGTCTCCAGCCTCAGGAACGCAGAGGCTGGTCCGGCACCGTGGACACAGCATGGGGGTAGGGGCTCGCCCAGCCGCGGGCGAGGGGACCGCGGCGGACGGCTTAGCGCCCGCACCGCAATCCCGAGGCCCGGCGTCGCGGGAAGCGCTCCGCCTCCACCAGCCAGAGGAGGCCTTGCGCCGGGGGCGGCGGCGAGGGGGCGGCGGCGAGGCGCGCGTGCGCAGCGGCTCCTCTCGCGTCCGCGTGCCCTGCCTAGGGCGGTGCCTCCGCCCGCCTGCTGCAGCACGGGGCCCGAGGGTGCGGCGCAGGGCAGGGCGCACAGCACCATCGCGGTGCAGGGCAGAGGGGGCAACGCCAGAGCTGCAGTGGGACTGAGGCAAAGGGCAACCGCGAGGGGAGGGACCTCAGCTGCCGCCATGAGCCCTCACACAGCGAGAGCCCTCCCCTCGCGGGCTTCCGTACCACGCCCAGATTGGGCACTGTGGGCGCCGGAACCAATGGTTTGAGAGCCCAGACCCGCCCGGACCCGCGTGTGGACCGGAAGTGTGCTACCCCACGCCTCTCCCTGAGACCGTGCGCCTGGGTGGACAGGGGACGCCCTGGGGGTCCCCGCCTAGAAGGCTGAGGTGTCCAATCCATGCAGAACGTCACTTCCCATGCGCAGCGCGAAGCCTTCCTCCCACGCTTCTAGGTCACAGTGGCGCTGTGGACTGGGCATTGCCCTTAAAGCCAGCGAGAGTCGCGCTGCGCCCTCTGGGAAATGTAATTCAACTGCATCTTCTCCCAAGCCGATTGGAAAGCCCGGGAAAAACTTCCAGCTGTCTTGACAACAGTGAGAGGCGCGCGAGCGTGCATCATTGTCAAGGAGATGGCCTGGGGAAGGGCTTGCTGTCTCCGTCACCTCTGCCAAGCGGGCGATTGGTCAGAAGGACGATTGACAGGACATGTGCCCAGTTAGATTTCTAAGGCGCATGGAACCGGCCCACCATTCCCAGCCTTACTCCACTAGATGGCGCATGCCTTTTAAATCCAGCACCCTGAGAGGTTAAAACCAAGCATGACAAATTCGATCCTAGCCTGGACAATGTAGGGATTTAGCAAGGACCTGACCCAAAGTAAAAAAATAAAAGAGCTGACATGTAGCTAAGTTCGAGGACATAGGGTTTAGTTCCCAGTACCATTAGAAAAAAAAAACGAACTTTTTCTTTCCTTTTATTGGAGGGAAGACATGTTGAGGACCCAACTTCAGGGTTCTACTACTGAGCCACATTTCCAGCACTACCTCAAGAATCTTGAAAACTATAAAAAGGGGAGACATAGACAAAACAAGGAATTTCAGCAAGAGCTAAAGGCAACCAGCTCAGTTGGTGAGGTGGTTGGAGATCACCTTGCTTTCCCTTAACTTGGGCCCTTCTCTCACACTTAGTCCAGACTCACTTTTGAATGTAACCTCTTACCTACCAGATAATATGCATCCACCTGGGGTTTGGAGATACACATCTGTAATCCCAGCTTCCTGGAAGGCTGAGACAGGAGGGTTTTGAATTTCAGGTCACTCTGGGCAACTCAGTGACTTAGTGAGACCCTGTTTCAAAAGTAAAAAATAAAAAGGGTTCAAGAGGTGGTTCAGTGGTACAGCATCCCTGATGTCAGTCACCAGTACTACTGTACACACGCTGAGACACACAATGTGTGTTGGTTTCTGCCACATTTATGGCAATTTGTTATAGCAGCAAACAAGAAGCTAATACAGTCCCTAGGAGGCTCCGAGTTGGAAGGACTGACACTTTTTTATCCATGGTCCTTTTCTTTTGTGCGGAGCAAGGCAGGCCTCTCACCCAGACCCTCTGCCTTCAATATCACACACTTCAAGTGGTCCTTACTGCACTTATGTGATTCTGGTTTTATGTTATGAGTTGTGCTATTAAGTTTTCCTATCGGAGCCAGGTGTGGTGGCACACGCCTGTAATCCCAGCACTTGGGAGGCTGAGGCAGGAGGATCTTTTCAAGTTCAAGACCAGCCTCAGCTACAAAGTAAGCTCACAGCCAGACTGAACTGCACAGTGAGACCCTGTCTCAAAAAGACCAAAAAAAAAAAAAAAAAACCACAAAGTTTTCCTATCAATAGACAGATCTAAGTAAAAACAAGTGAGTTGATGTAAGTCAGTTGTTCTGAGCTTGGTGACACTTTGCAAACTCAGGAGGTATTTTGGGTTTTCACAGCTAGAGATGGGGCTCAAGGCCAGGGATGCTGTCTTACTTTCTCCTTGCTGAAAAACAATACCCAGACACCCACAGCTGTAAGGAGAGGTTTACTTTGGCTCACAGTTGGCAAAGGTTTCTGTCCATAGGCAGCTGCTCCAGGGCAGGGCAGCATGGCCCAGGGGTATGGCAGAGGAGGCTTGCTCATGCATGGCAGCAGGAAGCAGAGAATGATCAAGGGAGGAGGAAGGAGATACCTTTCCAGGCCACGTCCCCAGTGACCACCTCCCAACAGGGTTCATCTCCCAACACCACACCTAGCTATAAACCCATCCGTGAACTAATCCACCCCCATGATCTAATCTCCGGCCTGACCCCCAGCTGTGAGTGCAGGAGGCTTTGGCTGACAGCGAGGCACGAACTTAACAGATGCTGTTAATCGTCCTGCAATGCACAGGACACAAGGGCAGTAGACAAGATCCTGCTTCCCCCTTTCTGTGCCTCCCCAGACAGGTTATTTCACCTCTCCAGGCGTCCATGAATATGCAGATGAGATGTCTACCTTGTAAGTTTGCTCTGAAAAATAAATGATCAGACTCCTAAACATCCCTAAATGTCCTCATGGATTCAGGGAGGGCCCTACCCGAGGATGACTAACCAGGAGGTGGCCAGGGAATGAGGTGGGAGGGAGGCGTGGCATCCTAAATTTTCACTCTGAGCTTGTCATGAAGTCTCCCTAAGAAAGTGACAAGGGGGCTGGGGATTTAGCTCAGCAGCACAGCGCCTGCCTGGCGAGTGCAAGGTCGTGAGTTCAATTCCTGGTACCAGAAGAAAACAAAAGAAAGTGACAAGGAAGTAAAGGCCAAAGATGGCAGAGGGTACTTTTGGAGTATTTAGGGTACATTAGTTTCTTGTGGCTGTTGTAATACAATACCACAAACTTGATGGCTTAAAATAACAGTTTATTCTCTCAGAGAAAGTCAGAAGTTCCAAGTGTTGGAGGCCTAGGGAAGTATCCTTCCTTTCTTCTTCCAGCTTGGGGTGGTCTAGGCATTCATTCCTCAGCTTGTGGCTACAGGCTCCAACCTTTTCCTCTGGAATCACACAGCCTAGCCCTCTCCTTTTTTTTTTTTTTTTTCTTTTTTTGGTGGTACTGGGCATTGAACCCAGGGCTTTCACACTGAGTTACACCCCACCCCACCTTTTTTTTTGAGACAGGGTCTCACTAAGTTGTCTAGGTGGGATTTAAACTTATGAGCCTACTGGGCCTGGTGACGCACACCTATGATCCCAACACAGGTGGCTGAGGCAGGAGGATTGTTGTAAATTCAAGGCCAGCCTGGACTACATAGTGAATTTAGGGACAGCCTGAACTACAGAGCAAGACCTTGTCTCAAAAAGACAAAAAAAAATTTTACAAAAAAATTGTGATCTTGGGGCTGGGGATTTAGCTCAGTGGCACAGCACCTGCCCGGCAAGCGCGACATTGTGAGTTTGATTCCCGGTACGGCAAAAAAAAAAACCAAAATAAAACAAAAACAAAATTGTGATCTTGCCTCAGCCTCCCAGAGTGCTGGGATAATGGGCATGTGCCACTACACCTGGCTCTACTTTCTCTTTTTTTTTGGTTTTTTTGAGACAGGGTCTCACTATGCAGTTCAGGCTGGCCTTGAGCTCACTTTGTAGCCCAGGCTGGGCTCGAACTCGAAATGATCCTCCTGCCTCAGCCTCCCGAGTACTGGGATTACAGGTGTGCGCCACCATGCCCAGCCTGGCTCTACTTTCTCTTAAAGAACACTTGTTTTTGGATTTAAGGCCCTCCCTGGTAATCCAGAATAATCTCGTTTTAACATCCTGAACTAAAGTATATCTGCAACTGTCATCTCAGCACTTAGGAGGCTAAGACAGGAGGATCACAGCGAGTTTCAAGCCAGCTTGGGCTAAATAGTGAGTTCAAAGCCAAACTGGACCCTGCCTCAAAAACAAACAAACAAACAAAAAAACCTGCAAAGAAGCCCTTTTCCAGTAAGGCCACATTTAGAATCTGGGAACTACACCATGGACATATCCTTTTGGGGACCATTATCCACCCCACCACAGGTGGGCATTCCACAGGAGCAGATGGTGGCCAGGCCCAAATGAATCACAGTGGGTCAGCTCTGGGTTTAAGACTGTATCTAGGACTTAGCGGGGCTGGGCGTGGCTCTACCAGGCAGCTAGGCACAGCCACACTCCGCACATTCCTAACTGGCTGAAAATCAGGCTGATGATTTTGAGACATCCAAGATGCCAGTGAGGGCCGTGAGCGGCCATCACAAGGCCACCAGAGCAGATGATGGCAGCGTAGCTGGAAGAGCGGACAGGTGCGTGGTCGCCTGACAGTGCCTGGGTGTGCTCCAGGGTGTGAGGGGCCTGGGCTGGGGCTGGTCAGCACAGCGTGGACGAGGTAGCAGGAGTGACCCCACACAGAGCCTCCAGGATCCCCGTCACTGGAAGGAAACACCAGCAGCCCTGGACACACGGAATAAGACCTTGGGTCCTGTTCCAACTTCCTGGGGGCCTGGGGAGGCTGGGCACCGCTGGCCTGCCAAGGGGCCTTGTGAATAACCTGTGCAGGGTTCCCCACCTTCCGTCTATGGGCCAGGCCGAGGACCCTTTCATTTGCACTCTGCGGGCTGGCTGGCCACTCTCGCGAGGTCGATGAAGATGCCCGCTATCGAGTGTGCACCATGGCCAACCCACACGCTGCACACCAGCCTCGCCCGAGTGCGTCCTCACTTCCATGCTGAAAGGGGAGGCAGGTTCGTGGAGCGGGGTCCCCAGGCCGCCCCCGGCTTGCTGGCCCCAGAGGATACCCGCAGGCCCGGGGAGGGCTGCGGACCTGTCCCCGCCCACCTTGACCCGTTTGCAGAGACCGTTCTTGGCGCCCTGGGGCTGGGGAGCGGCCCGCGCAGGGCACCGATCTGCACCTCGTGACCGTATCCGCTCTCCCGCTCCTTCCAGCCTTCGGTCCAAATGCAGAGGCCGCCCGCAGAGATCCCGGGAGCCGGGTCCGCAGACGTGGGAGTCCCCGGGATGGGCACGTCGCGGGCTGCACCAGGCTCCCAGCCGGCCAGCCCTGCCCCGCTCCGGGCTCCCCACTCCGAGACGGTGGAGTCCCGCTTCCACCGCCGCGACCCCCGCCCTCCCTGCAGAGGAGGGGGTCGCGGGGAGCCCAGGACCCGCGGAGGGCAGTCGCTGCCGCTCGGCCCCTCCCCGCCAACCCCGGCCCGCGGCGCGCGCCGCAGAGCAGCCACGGCGGCGGGGAACGCGAAGGGGCCGAGGAGGCGGCTCCAGCTCCCGCCCGTGGCAGCCGGTCTGTGGCTTAGGTCTAAAGTGAGGGACTGTCTTCTGCCCTTACTAGACATGGCGGAGCTGGCTTCTCGGACACCTCTGCGCTTGTGCAAAAGCTCGAGGCACGGGCAAGCACCTACTACCGAACTCCCGCCGAGCCCCAAGTGCGCGGGGCGGGCCTTTCGCTTTCGTCCCGGATTGGCCCTCGAGCGCCGATGACCTCGCGCGCAAGCGTGGTCGTGTCTGACCCGGAAGTCCTCGCTCTCCTTAAAGGCGTCAGCACGCGGCGCGCGGCCTCTTCCTGTCTCTGCCAGGGCGGTGCGTGGTCGATCCCGTGCGACCGAGGCCCCCCGGCCGCACCCTCAGGTGAGGCAGCGGAGGGATTGGGGCTCCGCGGCCCGCCGCTCGCCAGGTCTCCGGGCGGCCGTGCCGGGC